AGAAGGATCACTGTTAAAGCAACCACCACAAAGCAGCCAGAGAAAAAATTAAAATCCAATCCCTGGGAGTAGAGAAAAGTCTTGGAGAGGCTGTTTCTTCACGCAAAATGGGGTTCTTATTTTGCTCTTTCTACTGCAGTTTATCACTTTTCCTGCTTGCAAAAGGTCCAATAAGAAAAGTGACAGAAAATTGCACTGGAAAGTGCAGGATAACAGCTGTTGTCTCCCAGTGCCTCCCATATACCTTTGCACGAATGTATTGGGATGAATGCTCAGTAACTTTTGTATGAACGCGTTAGCATGAATGCTCAGTTGAAAAGCTGGTTAGGAAGCTCCCTAGTCCTGGCACTAAAAAAAGGAAGTAATGCTGCCACCTGGTGGTTTTTTCTGGGGAGAGCACTCCATAGTCAGGGACCTACAATTCAAAAGGTTCTCTTGTTGCCACCTTACTTCCAGAGAGGGTACTCCGAAGATGGTCTCTGCTGATGACCTAAGGGTCATATGAGAAGAGAGTTTCCTTAGGGTGCTGAGCCACTGAAGTCTTCACAGGTCAAAGCCAGTGCTTCTCAAGGAGACATTGATCACATTACTCTTCTTATTATTGTGCTACTCAGGATGGTCTCAGGGGCCATTGGTTGTGCTGCTCGTGTGTGTGTAATAATAATAATAATAATAATAATAATAATTTATAAATTAAAATCTTACTGCCATTTCACATAGCAGATGTGGGATTAGCAGATAGTGGTGGAATATAATAGGCAAAGCAATGACACGTTACCTAAACAGCCTCGGCCCAGTATACCTGAAGGAGCGTCTCCACCCCCATTGTTCAGCCTTGACACTGAGGTCCAGCTCCAAGGGCCTTCTGGCAGTTCCCTCACTCCGAGAAGTGAGGTTACAGGGAACCAGGCAGAGGGCCTTCTCGCTAGTGGCACCCGCCCTGTGGAACGCCCTCCCGTCAGATGTCAAGGAAATAAACAACTATCTGACTTTTAGAAGACATCTGAAGGCAGCCCTGTTGGGGAAGTTTTTAATGTTTGATGTTTTATTGTTTTTATTAATATTCATATTCTGTTAGGAGCCAACCAGAGTGGCTGGGGAAACCCAGACAGATGGGTGGGGTATAAATAATAATAATAATAATAATAATAATAATAATAATAATAATACTCTTAAATTAAATCCATATATTGAAATGCTGAATTATGACTGTGCCAAAAGCCTGGTTGATCTTACTATCCCCATATTTCATATTGCGGGTTGAGGTTGAGAAGTAGTGACACCTTAAAGGCAGCAAGTGAGTTCATGCCTGAGGTGAGATTTGACACAAAGATTTCCAGTTCACATGTTACTACACTTGCTCCAGCTCTTACCTGTAGACTAGAAAATTCAGGAGGTAGGGAAGCTCCGATTTACATGTGCAATAACATATTGAATCTATGTAACACCATAGAGGGGACGCGGGTGGCGCTGTGGGTTAAAGCCTCAGCGCCTAGGACTTGCCGATCGAAAGGTCAGCGGTTCGAATCCCCGCGGCGGGGTGCGCTCCTGTCACTCGGTCCCAGCGCCTGCCAACCTAGCAGTTCGAAAGCACCCCCGGGTGCAAGTAGATAAATAGGGGCCGCTTACTAGCGGGAAGGTAAACGGCGTTCCGTGTGCTGCGCTGGCTCGCCAGATGCAGCTTGTCACACTGGCCACGTGACCCGGAAGTGTCTGCGGACAGCGCTGGCCCCCAGCCTATAGAGTGAGATGGCCGCACAACCCTAGAGTCTGTCAAGACTGGCCCGTACGGGCAGGGGTACCTTTACCTTTACCTTTTAACACCATAGAATGTAAGAGAGCAGCAGTACAAATGGAACAGACAGAACTTGTAAGGGTTGGAGATATGCAAGTCTGTTTGCACTCTGTTCCACCTTAGCAGAACCATAGATTTCATCACAAATTTCTTTTGGGGGAAAAGGTGGTTGTGACCCTATTGTTGAACTATGAGGCAGAGGAGTTGCTAGAACCAAGGACACAGAACATCTTCTGTGGCCAGCCATGGACTAATAGTGTCAAACCATAGGCCCAGAACCCCCTTTCTCACCTGAAGGTAGATCATTCGCAGAAAATACAGCATGCATAAAGTTTCACAGGCTAATGGGAAGTACTTGGACCCTACTGAATACTGGGTGGTATTCAACTGCATTTTACCCAGCTTAGATCTGTTGAAATTAATGATCCTCATTTAGTCATGTTCATTCATTTTAATGGGCCTACACTGATTATGCTTAGTTGAATACCACCCTCTCTAATAATCTCATTGTGTTTTTTCTTCTCTACTTAATTTCATGGTGGATTGTGCCCTTTGAATCTCCATAGAATAGGCAGTTGTCTTATACAGTGGTACCTCGGGTTGCATACGCTTCAGGTTACAGACTCCGAAATAGTGCTTCAGGTTAAGAACTTTGCTTCAGGATGAGAACAGAAATCGTGCTCCAGCGGCGTGGCAGCAGCAGGAGGCCCCATTAGCTAAAGTGGTGCTTCAGGTTAAAAATAGTTTTAGGTTAAGTACGTAACTCCGGAACGAATTAAGTACTTAACCCGAGGTACTACTGTAATGCGATGAGTGTCATATTTTGTGAAATATGCTGTGGTAATAAAAAGAAACTTGTGACTACGTGTGCGCTGTTAATTCCTGCGAGTCTCTTGGTTGCCTCTCTGTTTTCCTGAGTTGCAAAAAGAAATTAAATTTATGGCATGAACAGAATGCAGGTGCAATGAAACCATGACTAGCTGGCAGCCAATAGGATGATATGAACAGACAGCACAGAATAGCAGCCGACAGAACTTCCTGTGCATAAGCTTTCTCATACCACGTTGTGCAAGTCAAAATAGAAATGAAGCAATGCAACATAGTCTCCTATTACCTCTGTAGCAAAAGGAAGCTATGTTTGTTATTTAGGCATAGAGGAGTTCTTTCTTGCAAATATATGCATTTAGGGGCTTGTGGTTTCTCGCTGAACCTACCTGTTTTCAGCTTTCCCAGATTTAAAATCCACATATTGAGTTGTGTGTTTGAAGTATCAGCAGTTGCATTCAGAAGCTTTTCTCTGCATTCTCGGTGGTTGAGAATCAGTTCTTAAAATGGTGATATCCTTGAGATTTTTTTCTGCCTGTTTTAAATATAAAAAACACCCGTTTACCCTAAAGTTTGGTGCATTCTAGACTGTGTTGTCAGTTCTGGGTTGAGAGCAAAACTCAGCCCGTTGCATTTGAGAAAGGCTAAGGTGAACGGCAGCCACGCAGGCTTTCATTTGATATGTCCTGTCTTCCAAAGAGTGGGTGAGGAGAGACGCCAGTACGGACACATCCTGTCGCTCTCTGTGGGGGTGGAGTTTTGTTTATCCCAACCGTTGCCGTGAAGGTGTAGCAAAAGTGCCAGCACAGTAGCCTGTTGCAGCATCAAGGGATGGATAAATGTTCCTGGCCAGCAGTTAGACGATGCTTTCAGAAATGGGTTGGCTACTCAAAGAATACGGGTTTAAGAGGAAGAGAGAAAATACGGGCTAAGCAAATGAAGAGGGAGCTGGAGGCTTGTGGAGAAAATGCATGGAGGGAGCAAAGGAGTTTTGAGGTGCAAGGATTTTGTTGTCATTTTGTCTTCTCAGTTTACTGTCTTGAGAGGGGAAAAGAGGGGAAGTCAGGTTACAAGATAATTCTAGAATGCATTTGACTAGCTATGCTATACAATATCATTCAAGAATGCATTTGACTAGCTATGCTAGCTCAACTATACTGATATTTTCTCCATGACTAGAAGGTAGAATTCAGAAGCAAGTACAGAATTTTCTCATAATCTTATCTTTTTTGGGATAGCATCGGGCTCTTTTTCATTTACTTGCATGTTTTTCATGGATATGCAGAAAATCTTGATTTCACAAACTCCACTTGCCTTTCCCCCAAGATTTTTTTTTAAAGGGGGGGGGAGGAATGAGTCCTTTCTATAACATTGTTAAGCATTTTTAATTATTTTTAAAACTATCTGTATACCACCCGCTTGCAAATCACTCAGAGGGTGCAGACACACTTATCCTGGAATAAATTCCATGAGACTTGTTCCTATATAGACATGCATCAGATTGTGCTGTAACATTGCAATCCTGTGCACATTTACTTGGGAGTAAGCTCCCTTGGACTCAGCAGGCCTTACAATCATAGGCTTGGACTGGATCTTATTTTTTGTGCCTATTCTTATGTTCAGTTTGCAGACAGATTGAAGTTGAGTACTCGGTTAAGATTAAGGTTAAAGGAGCACTTCTTAACACTGAAAATTAGGTAGCTGGCAGCTGAGACTCTAGTTGCCCTAGTTATCATGTACAGTGCTTTTGAATGCAAGGTTAAGGCTACTGTAACATGTTTAACTAGCATCCTGGAGAACCATCCTTTAAAACTGACTTTATACTGTACCTGAAGGTATGTAAAGCTATGTGTTGGTGACAGCTTTCTCAAGCCTATGGTGGTGTAATTCGGGCCAAACCCTCAGCCTTGCAGTCACATGAACTGCACAAGTACAGAGTACTCATATGTTGAAATGTAAGCATGAAGTGTGGTTTGCAGCGTTTCTCAAGAGGAGATTCAGCAATCACTGATGTTGATGTAGTCTAAATCCTTCATAGTCTGCTTAGATCCTAACGTTTGCATTACCACGAATGTTCTTATAGAAGATTTGCCCTTCTGAAGTCCATTGTTTTTGTGAGTGTTCATAATTTACTGAAAGTTTATGCCTTGCATGACTTTTGCATGTTGCTTGCTTAAATTTATAAAGTATGCATGCATTGCTTGCTAATTAGAAGAATGTTAGATTGGAATCCATGATGCCTACATTCCAGGATATAGGATTCAGGATCAATGTGCCAGTTTTTAAGTACCTTTTTCATTCAGTTTGATGCTAATATTAATTTCTGCATGTATCCTAGCCCTCACCTTTAATGGTTTTCATTGCTTCTTTCGAATATTAGGAGCGTCAGCGGCTGGAGACCATTCTTAACCTGTGTGCAGAATATTCCAAGCCAGACAGTGATCCTGCCACTGTCACAACTGTAGCTGATGTTCAGAAAATCAATAAAGAACTTGAAAAGCTTCAGGTATCTGAGGAAGATTCTGTCTTTGACGATTCTCAGATGACTCCCGAAACAAGATTCAGAAATCACTTGCAGATGCCAACTGGAGATTCCGACTTCTCTGAGTTCAGTGATCTAGGTCAAAATGCTATGGGATTCCTTACCCCCAGAGGGATGAGAACAAATAAACATTTAGGTGACAACAGGACAACATCACCCTTACCTTCTTCTCCCTTCTTGAAGAATGCCAATGAATCGTCCTACCTGAGCATCATGTCCAAGGTAATGGCAAATACTTTATAAGACAAACTGGCTGGGGATCCTGTTCTGTGTTAGAACAGTTACCATGAGAAATAGTTAAAACCCTCAAGTTTCGATTGCAAACCTGCATTTATATATATGTTTAGCTTAGAAATGCCAGTTTTGAGGCCACAATTCAGATAAGTGCAAACTAACACCTTGAAACTTCTCTTCTGAACAGCACCAACTTCCTCTTCATGGACAAGTCCCAATGCTGTTTGTTAGTGACTGACTGCCACTGCCAAGGGGGGGGGGGTCTACTTGATTTTCAGCTGCCATCACTGTTGGACAACCAAAGAAAGAGAGCCCAGTTCATATAGTAGTGCAGGCTACATTCAAGGCTGCCACACTGTGGCGGCATCCAGGAAGTGCACAGTCCCCTTGGCACCAATCAGTGCAACGGATGGGAAGTGCAGCCATTGCAAAATACGCAACCAGATCAATATTCAAAAATCAAAGCTGGTGACTTTTTTCTTTTCGATAATGGCATATGGTCCAAATAAAACAACACGTATGCCTCTGGACGTTACTTTTTTCTAGAGAGAAGGAAAATAAAAAGAGGGCAATAAGTACTCTTGTCTCTCTCAAAGTGGTCTTCGTTGAACTGTTCACAAGTGTGGTGTGATGCTATTCGAAAGAGAGGATTCATGATGTCCGGGAGTGCTCAGTTGCCTCCAGGAAACACAGAATGTTGAATGTCAGCCGGTAAAGGAAAACTAGGATGAGAAAAGTGAATTCGCATCCTCGAGCCCTTTAGACCTTATAGTATCCTGTACTAGAGAATGGCATGGTGCCTGGAACTGTCAACACAAGCACTGCACATCTCATTGAGCTATGATTAGCAGACTGCTAATGGTTTTGGGAGGACAGAAAGAGAGGGGAATCCAGGCTGCAGTTTTTTCGACACCCCGAAGAGATCGGAATTGACTTTTTAGAAAAATTGAACCCTGAATCTTCAGGTCTTAGTAGAAGTGTTGTGCTATCATGGGATCAGCATACTAATTTTTCAGAAGTTAAAACACTCTGCACAGAGCTCGCAGGAGGCAGGTGCTGCTGTGTATTGTTGGTGAACAGGGAATCCTATAAGAAAAATTGTATTATTGTTGCAGCAGTGACCAACTGGGTTAGGCTGAGGATGAGGGACAGTCCTGTTAGTTTCTCCCTTTTGGTACATTCTTCATATATCATAAGGAGAGAGAAATGTATGGAATTGTTCCATGCCACCTTTATACTTCTTTCCCTCTCAAAGCACATAGTGCTGTTCCTGGGGCGATGGGCTATACTGCTCACTATACTGCTATATGAACTGACCCATACCCTGCAGTAATCATCTGGTCCCTTCTTCATGTGTCTCCTCTGTTTGATTATAATGTGCCCCCCTTTGTCTTTACAGGATTGTGTTCTTGCATCTCTTCCTTAGGATTATACTTTGCCTCCTATAAGTGAGGAGCCCTGTTGTTAATTCTCCGCTAGGAAGGTGAAACCCAAGCTGCAGTGTTAGAAATAGCTGAGCAGGGATTCTTGTGAAAAGGGGGCTTTCCTGTTAGGATTACTAGTGCTAGTAAGGAGTCCATTTCATAAAAAAAGAAATCTATTATGTAAATAGCAGTAGCAGTGATCACTTGAATGCAATTCATTATTTGTTCTAAAATGCCACAGTTGCAGCTCCAAAACTGTATTGCTTAATAGGCGTCTGAGAGAAGGACATATGGTTTAGTAATATAAGGCAAAGGACGGAGAATAGGAACTGACTCCTGGGTGTAGTTCTGATACTAAGAAATACTCTTGTGACCTTATGCAAGTAACTTGCCCTCTGAAGACTAACCAGCCCCCTTTGGAACACAAAAGCCATAGTCAGGACACCAGGGATGCAGTCCTAAGCACAGGCAATGTGTGAATAAACTTGCATAGATTGTTGTGCTATCAGTCTCTCCCTGTGCTAGGGTTTAAAGCAGTTTGATGCAGGCAGCACTTTTCTTTCTATAAAAAAAAATGTTTAGGGGTACTCTCCTTTTTACTCAAGAAAATCACCATTTTATAGTTCAAATCGGGGAAAATAAATACAGTAAATGGACAAAAGGACAAAGATTCACAAAATGTTTAGCGGTATGCGTACCGCTGCATCCCCCCAGGAAAAAAATCACAGGATGCAGAAAATAGTTGCTCCGAAAATAGCCTTGACACTAGTTTTTGTATCTTCCCGTATTGTCCAATAGGTAAACGGGTAGGAGTTTTGAAACAGCACCTTTGAGGAATATGAGAAAACAGTATTAACAGAGGAGGGGGGAAATCTGATTTATACAGTGCAATTCTGCTGCTGCTGCTGCTACTCTTAAAAATTTGCTGGCATAAGCAACGTTTTGGGCCTGGTATTTTTAGACAATACTAAGAGCAGTTGTTGGGGTGGGGGTAGAGCAATGAGAAAACGTACATTTTGGGAACTTGTATTTGTAAAAAGTAACAACACTTCCTTGTTGTTCTTTCAGACACCAGAGTGCATAAGTGATGAACAAAGATCACTGGAGCTTAATCAGATGGAAGAACAGCGCATTATAATACTGAATAACTTGGAAGAACTTGAACAGAAGGTCAAAGATCTAAATGATCAGATGGATGAGTCCTCTAGGGAGGTATAAAAAGTATTTTCTTTGTTTTTATCTGATTAGATTAGAGCCTCTATCTTGCTGCAAGAAGCTGCAGGTATACATAAAACACATTCATCTGATTACTGAAATGTTGGTTGATATGAAACAAGACTGGAGAGCCGCTAGCCCATGGATCAAACCTGGTCTTCTGGTGGGTCTAAATTGGCCCCCCCATTTCCCCCCAAGCCAAGCTCACCTGCATATCAGCTGAAGATTGACGGGTGGCTCTGCCCACCTGTCAAAGTTGGCCTATGGCTTGGTGGGGAGATAACCATCTGTTCAGCTGGGCCAAAAGGATACCCTGCCTGTGGTACAATGGTCATCATGCCACCACATGTATTTTGTGAACACATGAAGGCACTATAGCTGTCAACTTTCGCCTTTTTTTTAAGGGAAATTCCCTAATTCTGAATAGGATTCCTCGCAAGAAAAGAGAAAAGTTGACAGCTATGGAAGGCACAGCAAGAATGTGCCTTTTACAGCAGCTGTACTCATGATGCTGATAAACCTACTGGCCACACTCCGTAGGACCAGCACATTGGGTGTTAGCATTTATTTTTAGTCCCATGCGAATGATAGCCCAATAGCACATCCAAGCGAAGGGTGCTATAGCAGCTTGGGGGGGGGTTGGTGATCCTCATTGGGACAACAGCTTGGATCTTGGTGTCTAATCTATAAACCGCACTATATTCAAGGGGGCTTACCCTCTAGTAAGTGTGTTTAGGATTGCAGAGTCATGTAAGTAATGAATGAAAATTTGCAAATATGAACAGCAAAGTATTACTTGGGAGTACTGCAGAGGTATCTGCCATAGCCAAAGCGTAAGGAAATGAACGGCACCATTAAATTATAAATCCCTTCTGAATTCTGCTTTACTTGGGATCTCACATCGCCAAAAACAACCTGCAAATGACTCAGTTCCTAGTGAATAACCTTAGTAAAGGGGGAGCAGCTGTTGCAAAACGGATCAACATAACAAAGTGCCATGAGGAAGTGAAAATACTACGAGCAGACAGAAGCAGAAGCACTAGAAAGTTCTTGAAAAATTGCCAACTTTGGATTCCATTTTCAATAGCATGCTGTTTTTGTACATGTCTTAAACTATCTCAAGAGAAGTTAATGTGGCTTTGCATCACAGTGTGATTTAAAATATGCAGCATGCATGAATAGGCCTTCAAAAAGTGTGTGTCAGTATTTCTTTGTGAGCTGGATTGAGGCTGAGAAATTTTTTTCGTGTTCTTAGATGGATATGGAATGTGCCCTATTGGATGGGGAGCAGAAATCTGAAACAGCTGAACTTCTCAAGGAGAAGGAAATACTGGATCATTTAAACAGGAAGATAGCCGAGCTGGAGAGAAATGCCATTGGTGAAAAGACCAAGGTAAATAAAGTTATGGTATCTCTGTTTTAATTATATTTTTGTGCAGAATTGGAATTTCAGTAACTGGTATTTTCAAAAGAAAATAGTGTGTCATGGTGCATTGTTTTAAGATGAAATAAAAAATTATGTGAACTAATTTAGAAGCCACTTGCTGGCTGCTGTCTAGAGTTGTGGAAATTAAAAAAGAAAGATAACTTGAACTTGGTATGGGTTTTGTTGGGCATTGATCCTATAATTAGTTACTTATTGAAGAAACACACAGTTATTAAGAAAACACACAGCGTGTTGAATTATGAAGAATGAGAACTAACGCTGCAATCATTTGCAGTTTCCTGGGAGTAAGTCAAATTAAACTCAGTGAGATTTTCTTCTGAGTAGACACGAGTAAGAAAACACACAGCGTGTTGAATTATGAAGAATGAGAACTAACGCTGCAATCATTTGCAGTTTCCTGGGAGTAAGTCAAATTAAACTCAGTGAGATTTTCTTCTGAGTAGACACGAGTAAGGCATAACAGGGGGGATTCTGCACTTTAATGTGGTGTCTATAGTCTTTTTCTTACTGTGCATGTTCAGCAATTTTAATAATGTCATCTGCAATGGGTTTCCTTCATAGTAGTGAAAATCTTGAGAATTTTATTTACCTCTCATGGCTACATATTTTTAGCTTAAGTACATTAAATTTTGCATGCATGTAATTTGCTCTCCTAAACATAATGTTTTGATAACCTGCTACAGAATAGTGAGGGGACAAAAGGAAACAATAATCAAAATTGCAAAAGAGCATTGACATTAAATCATTTTTTGTGTAACATGGAAGCCAACGTGCAAATACTGTAACATTTTAATGAAATGTTATCACATTACAGAAATTCAAGATTATGTAAAAATGAGAATCCACATAATCACTAAATTAGGTCCAAAGTTGTGTGCCAGTAAAAAAAATACCCCATGGCCATAGCTTTTAGGAATGCAAGAAGTGATGTGCATATGTGTATATAAATGATTTACCCTTTCAGCAGTCCTCCTACATTGGTCCTCCCATTGGGAACTCTTGTATGGAACTTGCCTCAATGGAGCATGCATTTGGCATCAAATTTAAAAGCTGCTGAATGCAAGCTCTGCTTGCAGAGAAACAATCTGGAGCACATTGCGAGGCTCCTGCTTGTTCATTTGCAGCTGCAGCTTTAGCCGTCCCACATCTGTCCTGATGTTCTGTGAGGTTCAGTGTGTATGGCTGTGGAAAAACAGTTTCATGGGCCAAATTAGGATGCCTGTAACTAAAATTCACCCAACGGAGAGAAGATTTACACTGCCTTCACAACCGTTAGCAGTTATAAAAATAATAATGTATATATAATAAATTTATATTATTTATACATTATTATATATATTATTGTATTATATTATAGTATATATTTAGAGTTTGACCAAACTGCGGGAGGCAGTGGAAGACAGGAGTGCCTGGTGTGCTCTGGTCTATGGGATCACAAAGAGTCGGACACGACTAAACAACTAAACAACAACAACAACAACAACATATTTAGATTGCAGCTTAATGTATGTAGGAAATGCACTAGTTAGGATTGCTCTCTGAGTTCTGTTTTTTAACACGCTGTTCCTGAAAGAACCATTGGAATAAATGGTTTGGAGCTTCTATTTTCTAGTGGTTTACAAATGGTTTGATGATACCTTATTGATGTGAATCTCATGCACCATCGAATCTAATGCTTACCTAAGTTTTCAAAACCTATAAACCCCAAAAGCATTTGTTGCATCAGCAGTGCTTTTCAAGCTTGCAATTGAATCTAATGTGCTATCAAACCTAATTCATACCCTAATTTTCATGACATAATTTGGCCAAAAAAGGTGCGCCTTACACTCAAGTAAATACGGTAGTTGTAAGGAGCAGCTGTAGTTCACACCTGCATCCTTCCCATGTATCATTTTGACTTCCTTCAGCCTTAAAGCCCATGTGGTATCATTTCCCCACTCGTATTCCGTTTTCTGGTATTGCTGTTCACTTCTGAACAGCTGTTCTGATCTCTTCCACCAGTGATTGGAGATTTGTGAATAGTGAAATGATATCTGTGTACAACTTATGAAAGACAAAACCATTTCATTCATAAAAATATATAGCACAAATGATGGCAGGTCTGTTTTGCAGTGGTGATAGCTTGCTGTTTATGGAAAGAGTTAAGACTGGAATTAATTGCTGATCTAGGCACCTGTTTGACAGGAAGTCTTATGCAAAGTCATCTGACCGTTTAAGGGCACCTGCTTCAGAAGCTTGTGAAATTCTTAAGAGATATCATGAATGAAAACATAATCAGCTTTCCATCTGCGTGCTTAAAATAGACTAAAGGGAGAATTTTCATATTACTTGTAATCTTATTCATCTACTTCAAAGACCATAGACACGATACAACACGCTGCAGAATATTGAACCACGTATGCTTTCACAGTAATTTACTGCAAAGCAAATCCTATATTTCTGCAGCAATTGGAAAGAAACTGCACATTCACAACCACCTGAGTAGGTTATATTAAGTTAAAATGTTTGGAATAAAATTGAACCTAGTTTACTTGATTTCTTAATTTGCAGGAAGACAAAATTCAATGTCAGCAAAAAATTGCCAGCATTATGAGACTTCTGCTGAATTTAGGCTGTGCACTATTTGCTAATGTGGAATAAAAGATGAAGGATCAGTGGAGCTTGGATAAATGTTCATAGGACAGACAATTAGTACAAAAGAAGAGCCTTGCTGCATTAAGCCAAAGGTCCAGAGAGCCAACACAATGCCTCTGGGATGCTTCTGGCAAGTCTACATCCAAGACATGAAAGCAACATACATTCCCTGAACATGGAGGTGCCTCACAGTCACATAGACAGGCATATCCTCTTCTATGACTTTCTCTAAACTAGTAGCCATCATCACATCCTGTGGCAATGAGTTCCATAAATTATGTTGGGTGGTGGGGCTATATACACTTTGCTCTATCTGCCTAGAATCTGTCGTTATTCTCTTTCTTTGGATGACCCTGAGTGTTTAAATCTTCACATTATGGATAATTTTATAATATTTTATCCTAGGTGTGGAGAACCTTTTCTAGGCTGAAGGCTGTATTCCTTCATGGGGCAGAGTTCCCATGGTGGGAAGGAGCCAGAGCAATAGACGCGAATCTTACTTTTGCACGTTCTAGCCATGCAAAAGTTGGAAGTTTCTACACAGAGAGATGTGTATCTGCATCCTGACAAAGAAGATGCAGTAATCTCAGATCAAGAACACATCCCAGCTAGGCCGAAGCACTCTAGGACAGGTGCTAAGCAGTGTTTGTGAAAGGTGTGGCCTGGGAGGAATCTTGAAGGCCAGATGGAGGATCTTGGAGGGCTTCACATGGGGCCTAAATTAAGCTTATTCTCCTGGTTTGTTATCCTTAATTAAGCTACAGTTTCCCATTTCAAACGCACAGGGAAATCTGGCTTAATGTAAGCCAGTACAGTGGTACCTCTAGTTACGAACTTAATTTGTTCCGGAGGTCCCTTCTTAACCTGAAACTGTTCTTAACTAGAGGTGTGCTTTCGCTAATGGGGCACATGAGTTCCATTCACATCCTGGGGCAAAGTTCTCAACTCGAGGTAACTCTTTCAGATTAGTGGAGTTTGTAACCTGAAGCGTCTGTAACCTGAGGCGTTTGTAACTTGAGGTACCACTGTATCTTGATGCTGAAAGGAGGGGTGAGGGAAGAGCATATGTCTCTGGTGCTCATCCTGGCTTTATAAACCATGGTTTAAAGACCAGCTTATAAGCCATTATTTATAAAGTCTTGGCCAACCATCTGATAATGCCAATGGGTAGTAAGCTTATTGAGTGCTTCTGTTATAAATTTAATATCAGTTTATAGAATCATATTGCTAATGGGAATGTAAAACATTAGACCTGAACTTCATGTGATCCAGCCCTAAGGCAGGAGACAGAATGCATTACTTAGCCCAGGGTCTCAGTTATAGCTTATTTGGGAGTGACATTTTTTTTTGCAGTTCAGAACTGACTTTCATATTTCCAGAACTTTCTTAAAATTATATTAAGGCTCTATGCAATTATACAGGTTGTATTTCTTAGACATGTATAAAATGCCCTTTTCCCATAGTGTAGCTTATATGGAATTATCTTCCCAGTGGAAAATGGCTTTGATATAAGATGAGACTGGTGAAAACAGGTGTACTCAGTGGAATTTCCCCTGTAGGAAAGAAGTTCCTTGCCTTGTTTGTGCATATGTAGGGAACAGATAGGATTCACAGCTTCCAGCTACAGCTGGGAATCCAAGCAGCGACTCTTGACGGTGATATTTGACACGGTCACAGCTGCCAGAGAGGAAGGGAAGGGTATCCAGGATGGGCTGTGGCTCTTAACTTCCCCCTGCCGCTGGACCTCTGCCGCTTCCATTTCTCTGTTGCTGCTTATCTCCTGGTCAGGATCTCCCAGCTCTTCCTAATAGCAAAGATCTAGTGGAAAGGAAAACAGTGAGCTGCAATCTCTACCATGCATGTTCACCTGGGTGGAAAAAGACCTCTCATGACTAGGGGAAGGAAATGGAGGTTGGTGGCGGCAGCACTAAGAAACAGGAGTTTGATCTGGGCCAGTTCCCAGCTGGATTCTTGGCTAAGCTTGTGGGTTCCTTTCCGGCATCAAAGGGTATGTAGTCAGTGTGGGATTGGCTGCTCCATGAGATCCTCTAAACTGCGCATGTGCATGCATTCTAGGACTTCCTAAGTGCCAGAGAAAAATTCTGATTCTTTACTAGCATCACAAACTGCTGTTCAGTGTTTTGTAAGTGTCTCATTTACAACTTCCCGTGTTACTTGTTTATAGCTGCGTGGTGTGTCCCATTTAATCTGAGTCTTTTCCTGCCAGTAACAAAATTCCTAAGTTGTGCAAAGGACTGCAGATGTAGTTTTCAGTAAAAAAAAACCCAAAAAAAACTTGCATAACATAAAGA